CCCCAAAACCCCAAAACCCCAAAACCCCAAAACCCCAAAACCCCAAAATTCTTTAAAATATAGAATAATTAACTAAAAATGGATTTGTTAAGAATTTTGAAGTTTATAATTAGGCTATTTATTGTATTGGTGGTGGTCAATGCTGCAGTCAGAATTATTGCAGAGCATCATGATCCAGACAATAACAAGCTTATTACGAACAGATTCAAACACAGACTTGAGATTATGAATAACATAACCAGTAGTGCCTACTCTTCGCTGGCTTCTAGACTAAACCTTCCTCCAATTCCTATGATGGAGGACTTTTCAGTATGAATTCTAACCAATTCTGAACGTATTCTCTTAACATTCGCATACTTACAGATTTTTCTATGAGGATGAGTGGTCGTGAACACCAGGAAAGGAGCGATTTTACTTAACTTGAGCTTGATCTTAATGGGCATGTTTTCACTCAATTTCTCGTTCTTTTATCAAACTAGAGGTGATGAAGAGGCTAAAGATCAGAGTGGTGAAGGTAAGGTTAATTAAAATAGAGTAGGGATGGCGTATATCGTTGAGGAGTTCTATTTCTAATTTTTATTTACTCATTCAAAATGTATTTTTACTGAAATTATTCTTTATGCCTATCTTAAAAATTACCTGTGTTTGTTCGCCGCAATATATACCCCAGATTCCTTCCAGAAGCATAGCCAAGCTTTCCTTGCATATAATAATCAGGATCACTAATAACCATCCTTCTAAACTTATTTATAGAATCTGAAGACCCCAGAGAATTATTGATATTCATGATCTTGTTCTTCACAATGGAAATAATAGGAAGTTTACACATGAAAGACTCCCAATCGATTCCTGGGTTGACACCAATGCTCGAGAAGGAACCTAAGAAGATCAGAAGAGTTAACAGAGAGATTCATAAAAACTCAAAGTTCAGGAAGGAACAGAGAAAGAACAAGTTTAGAGAGAATTAAAGTAATTCAATATCTTTAGAGCAAGCTGGGGTTTTGGGGTTTTGGGGTTTTGGGGTTTTGGGGTTTTGGGG